AGATGTCGGCGGTTGAAAAAGCGACCCGTTGGTGGCTCAGTTGCTGCGGGCATTGCTGGAATTTCGGTTTCTTTGGCATTTGTTGCTTCCGCAGCGGAAATGCAGCGACAATCTGAAGCTGAATCTGAAGCTGAATCTGAAGCCGAGGCTGGTGCTCAAGTCTTGGTAACAATGTGGGTGTGCCACAAGCCCGCCAATTTGCGCCATTTCAAGTGTGGCAACAACGCAGGAACAACAACAAATGGGAGAGCTGAGAAGGGCAACATTAACGAGGCCGTGGCATTTGCATGAGGCACAGTCGCCTAATTATGCGTTTTAGCCTTTGTTATTTATAGGGAGAATCCGTGTGCATTGCCTTCGGTGTGTGAGTGTGAGTGTGTGTGTGTGTGTGTGTGTATGCCTGCGTCGTTTTTGGAGTTTTCGCTGCCGTTTTTGATGCTGCCCATGAGGCTAATTAGGCCTTAAGCGTGCCCATTGTGACAAAACACACCGTTGTTATGCTGTTTGTAATACTAGTTGTTGTTGTTGTATTTATAGCTGCAGGTAGTGGCGGTGATGATGTTGCCATTATAGCGTTGCCTGTTAGCCATTTGGCTTGCTATTGTTGGCTTACATCCTCGTCCGCTCATTTCCGCTCCGTTGCGTTTTTAGCGCCCATTAATAATTTAAGCGTTTACAAAATAAAATGTCACCAGCCAATGCTCCCTTAGCCGCACTCTCCCCTCCCTCAGCCTTATGCCGAGCAAAGCCCAACTAGCTGATTTATTTCAATTTGTTTGCCATCATCGCCGCACTCGATTTGCAATTAATAAAGCATTTATCCCATTTTCATTGTTCTGCACAAATAATCGCAAAATTTGCGTTTCCATTCCGGGATTTCGGGCAGTTTATATTTCACAGTTGGATTCTTGCTGTTTGCGGTTTATAAAACTGAAAATACACACTTTGGCTTTTAATTTAATTGGCAGAAGTGATGTGCGAATGTGTTCTGTGGCACATTCATTTACGTTGATTTAGTTTAATTCGGGGTTCATTCAATTATTTATCGCATTGATGGCCAATCCAATGATATTTTTGGCATTTTAACATACATATTTCTGGAAAATATTACGGGCAACAAAGATTACGGGCTATTGAGTTAATTGCTTTTATTAATATAATTGAATATTTAATGTATACATTTAAATGAGAAACAATTTGGCAAATCGCCATCACAATTGAATTCTAAGAATTAAGCAACAATAATTCTTGCTGCGTCCAATCAACCATATATTATTGCTTTCAGTATGCAATCAGGCTTATAAACATATTTCGATATTAGAATTCAATGTTGGCTTGTAATTTGAAAAATGTTTTGAAAGTGAATGCAATTACTTATTTATGGAAATAATTGTCCCATTGTCATGAGGAATTAAGATCAACATTAGTAATTTACAACCAATAAGAAACTTGGCTTCCCCTGCTCTTAACTGGGTCAGTTGGCAATCCATACATTTTTAAATGCTAAATTTTGAATTTATTTCCGGTTAGTAAATGTGAAGTGGAAAAGTTAATATGACAGTGTGTAATTGGCAACATATATGTTCTTATTTTGCACATTCTTTGTATAAAAAAGAAAGTCCTTTATTGACAAAGTATATACAAGTATAGCCAAGGGCGTAGCCAGCTTTTACCAAAGGGGAGGCCAAAAAATTAAAATTTTGATTAAATAATGCCCGATGCATTTAAAAAATAATTTATGCATATGATCGATGAAAAAACTTCAAAAAATCCAACGCAGATCCATCTGAACGCGAAATAGTGCGTCATAATATTGAACGTGTGGTCGACTTTATATGGAAAAATTTTTTCTAGGGGGGGGGGGGGGGCCAACGGACCCCCCCTGCCCACCCCTGCGTACGCCCTTGAGTATAGCATATATAATCCGCTTGACGGATTAGTTCCAAATTTTAAAATATTGTCATGTTAGCTGGAATATTTACAATTTACAAAACGATGGCTCACTTAACGTAAAATAATAGCAAGAAAATAAAGTCTTTTTCCTTGTTTCTTCATACGAGCTTGTATATATGAATAATACACTATTTTACAATAAATGTTATTTCATATATACAGGTGAGATCTGCTATGTAGTTTATAGAACAAGAGCTTATTGCGGAATGCTCATTTTGAAAGTTAAAGTTATCTTCTTTGGAATACATTGTGAAAACCGGAAGAGGAAAAATAGTTAAAAATATACAAATCGATTTGGAATGACTACGGATAAAAACATTAATTTGTTAGGCTCTGAAAATACATATCAGGCTCGGTAAGATTATTTTTCTGTCCAATTCCAATTCAAATCAGACCACCGACGAACTTAAGTCAGTTTCTCGAGCCTTTGGATCCGCTTATATTGCACATCTCAGCATTTGTAACATTCTGTCAATGGTAAGTTTTATCATTATTTTCATTGTTACTACAAGTATTATTGTTAAGTGCAACAGACACTTTCAGGCAGAGTTACAGTGCCAGATACTGCAATGCCTCAATGCTTTTTCATTACACCTCATTACATTTCACTTCATTGCACCAGGTTTTCAATTGTGTGCCGTTGATGTTTTCGTTGTTCGTCTTCTGAATGCGAGGCGATGTTTTTGCTGAATGTTTTGCATGTAAAATGTTTTTAATTGAAAACAATAAAGTTGCTGGTGCGGCTGTTGTTGTTGTTGTTGTTTTTGTTGTTGCTGTTGATACTACGTACAAAACATCCCATAGAAATATGAAATGAAAAGCGAGTAAAATGATGATAATGTGACAGGTCGAGTCTTAGATGCCCTTTATAAATGTTTTGTCATTAGATTGGACAGAAAATTCACATATTTTATAATAACGCGGCAAAGGCTTTGAGACTTCTATTCAGTAGCTATCAACAATAAGTCCGTAACCCCTAACTGTCCATTTCGTTACTAATTTTGTTGGTTACATGCTGTAAGGGTGAGCTGATATGCCCGAACGCGGCGTTAGAGCACAAATGCAAGTCGAGCTAAAAGCTGAGCATTCACAGATTCTGGCGCATTGTTTCTGGCGTGAAAGCGAACATCAAGCAAATGGAACTGTAGCAATATATGGGATATATAGATATATCTCTCTCTATGTACATACTAACAACAAAAGTACGAAAGTGATAATTAAAAATCGTGCTATAGACATGCACCCGATATTGTTGTTACCGTTGTTATTTCTGTAGTCAATGCGTGTAATGGTTGAGGCGCAAGGGAAATGGGTCGGGCTTTGCTGATGTAGGATATTGCAATCAGCATTGATTGTGTACGAATGAAGCGATCAATGCACATAACAATGATTGACGGCATTTAAATGAGCATCGAGCGAATCACAAACAAAACAGTCAAGTGAAACGATGCATCTGCTCAAAGGATGGGGGCTCGCCTGCCGATGAAGCCTTGCGCCTCTACATATGCGAGTATAGGCGGGGACTTCCATTGACATGCCCGTTGACAAACAATTATATAAAATCGCTGAAGCTTGCAATTTTGTGCAAAATTAATTTTGCATTTTAATGTTGTGCGCTGGAGAAGAAATGCAGTCGATGGAAAAACTGAAGATGAGGCGTTCTTCTCTGTAAATCGATAAATCATGTGGTTAGGGCATCTCTTATCTTAATCATTTTAAAAGACCTGTCAACAATTATTTTATGCTCTTGATTGTTTTATATTCTAGACAGGCTCAATAAAGTATATATATTTTTTAGCACTTCTTCATAGTTATTGTATATTAAGGTCTCATCTTTTCGTCTTTTTCTGTTCATTCAGGTTCGTCCCAATGTCGTTAGGGTTAGGACATCTCTTATCTTTATATTTTCTAGTATAGAAGTAGCCACACAGACATGATTTATATTTATGACTATTTTTTATGCACTTGTTCATAATTATTGTATATTAAGGTATCATCTTTTCGTCTTAGAAAGAGTGTAATTTTTCTGTTCATTCAGGTTCGTCCTAATGTGGTTAGGGTTAGGGCATTTCTTATCTTTATAAGTTCAAAAGGGCTGTTATTCTACGCTTTGGATTGTTTTGCATTTTCTCTATGAAGTGCAAAAATAAATATTCTATTCACGCCCAATAAATTATAGAAATATCTAGACATCTATCTTCACTATGACCTTCACGAGTTGCTGGATTAATGTAAGTGACAGATAAGGCAGCCAGATTATAGATTAGTTTGAAATTGAAAGTAAAATTTAAACATTTCTAAATAATAGGCTTGTCGTTTGTAATAGGTAAGATCTAACGATTTAGTGGCTAAGTGATGCCAACGAACTCAGCGCACAAGCAAAATCTAAAGATTAATCACATATTTATAAATTTACATCTACATATATACATAAATACATGTATGTATGTATGTTATATACAAACTTTGTTCGCTTGAGCTAATTTGTTTCGTCGACGGTGACGACGCTTCACCCAATGGGTTGATAAGAATTCTTACAATGTATTCGAGCTGTTTAAATCACTACGCTTTGACGATTTAAGAAGCGTTCAGACGCAGCAAAAAATTTCATAAAATAAATTTATTTATAGAAGAATCAAAGAAGTATTTGACGCTTCATTGTGACAGAGAGTAATGATTCTTTTATACAAGTTTTTAGCTGCACAATCCATTGCAAGATTATAACGAATACACATTTGTTGCAATTGTAATTCTGGACTCCCAAATATTGAATTTACTGAGTTGAAAATATTTTATGATGTTGAGCTTATATAGAATGTTTGAACGTCTGAACGTCCTCTCGTAGGTTGTTAATCGGATGACAAATAAACAACAGCTACAGCGTCTGGCTGCGAGCGGTTCAGGCTACGTGTTCGACGAAGAATGGTGCACTGCAATGGCCTGATCCGAAAGCCAAGCGAAAGTTAAAGCCAGCGTCAGCAGTTTAGGGCCAGGCACAGATCATTCGCAGCTCAGTTGTGTGGCTGGGTGAACGTGTCGACGTCAGTTTTTCTGATTGTCGGACTTTGTAAAATGTTTCAAAGCCTATGTAGAAAGACTCAAGTGCTCTGCACTCGCCGCGTACGCGAGCAATGGGTGCGCTCCTTTATGGTCGAGCTGCAGCCCGTCGAGCAGATCGTGCTAGTCCGCGAGAAGCAGGACCATAATGGACCGACCATGCAGTTTCCAGGAATTTGGCTTCGCGACAATTGCTTGTGCGACGCTTGCTTTCACAGAAACTCACTCAGTCGTCTGCCGCACGGATGGAACAACTTTGATACCAAAGTCAAGGTCCAAGATCTCAGCGTAAATGTGGAGCAGGAGACCCTTCACATCAACTGGTCGGATGCTCACAGATCCGAATATCCTTTGGAATGGTTGCGAGAACGCGACTTCTCCTCAGCAAACCGACAACGGTATTTAAGCCACTCTTATCGTCCTGAATCACAACATTGGTCGGGCGATCAGTTCCAGAATATTTTGCAAAAATTCGAGTACAGGGATCTGGTAAGTCGTGATGACACTCTGGCTGAGTGGCTGCGCACGTTGGCCATTTATGGCGTGGCTCTGATAAAGAACTCACCACTGGACATTGGAGTGGTAAAAACACTGTGCAATCGTGTTGGTTTCATTCGGCGCACCACCTATGGGGAAGAGTTCAGTGTGAAGTCGCAGCCGGGCGCCAAAAACTATTCATATTTGGCGGAACCACTGCCCCTGCACACAGACATGCCATACTTCGAGTACAAGCCTAGTTTGACAATCCTTCATACATTGGAGCAATCGGTCTCGCAAGGCGGTTGGAATCTGCTAGCCGATGCCTTTTATGTGGCCGATTTGCTGCGCGAGAAACATCCAGAAGAGTTTGAGGTACTGTCTCGGACACGAGTCGACTGGGCGGATATTGGCATGGACAATGGAGTGTCCTTTCACAATATATGGCGGGCACCAGTCATTAAGTAAGTAAGGAATTTTCAGCATTAATGGGTGTACTGGACTCACATATTTCGACAGAATTTGAATTTCGAATTTGAATATTTCAAATACAATCATTAGCTCTTCACTATATTACTTAGTCTACTGATTAAACGTGGAGGGGATATTGAGAAGGTTTGGAATTTTTAAAAGGGAGTTTTATTTTTAAAAGCAGTAGATAGGCGGACATTGTGATTGGAATTCATCTCGTCGTACTGATCATATCTAAAATCCTTATTCTTTCCGACAGTTGCACACCACAAAAAAAAAAACCATTAATACTTTTCAAATGAAGGGTTTTGAAGTCCGAATAGTTTTATGCGCAAAAATATTCATTTTTTTGTCATTTGTTTGGCAGCCTGGACGCCGATGGCAACTATGCACGCATCAATCATAGTGTTCCCCAGCGAGATAGTCACTTCAGCATACCTGTGCAGAGAGTTCAGCCCTGGTATGAGGCGAACGCGCTCTTCGTGCGCCTGGCACAGGAACAGGCAGTCAGTTTTAAAACCACGCCCGGAGATGTGCTGACATTCAATAATCTGCGCATGGTGCATGGACGCACTGGATACGATGATACCGAGCTGAATGTGCGTCACATTGTTGGCGGATTTGTGGACTGGGATATTGCCTATTCACGGTTGCGTGTGCTCCAGAAACAGCAGCAGCAACAACAACAACAAAGACTTCGGCAGCAGCAGCAACTGCAAGGCCAGAAACAAGTCGAGAGTAAATTGCTGAGTCAGGTCCAGTGATTGTACACTTAACTCATTACGTTAGTTATAACCTAATTTCTCTATACCCAAAATAAACATGTAACCCACCTTCAAAAAGATTGTTCGCCTTTTTTCCAAATAAAGTTTTGGAGCTTAATATTAGTGACATAAATCTTCTTTAGGATTAACATAAAAATAAAATACTATTGCCGATTATCAGCAAATACACTCAGGAAACAGAAAATACACTTGCTTAGGAGCAAAATAGTTAAATTACGTATGTTCTCTCGATCGCAAAATATTTAAAAAGAGTAAGTAATTTGTATGCCCCATAAAGGGTAGACTTGTTAAGAGAGAATGTATGTATAGGCCAGAAAGAGATGTGACAGATCACAGAGAGTATATATATTCTTAATATGCTTAATGAGACAAGTCAATATAGCTATATACGTCTGTTCATTTGTCCGTCCATCTTAACCTTTGTATAAGTGCAAGGTTCTTGTTTTGTTTAAGAAACTTTAGCCATAACAAGATTGTGTCTTTTCCTATATATAGTAATCCGACTGGAGGATTACACTTGTGATTTTTGCTTTTGATTTCAGTGTCAAAACATTGTCATTATCAATGAAAAACTGGCCATTAGCGATGGTCTGACACACGTCGTCATTGTTTATGTCCAAAAAATGTTTGCTTATCAGTCGGCACATGAGTCAATTATTATAGTTGTTGTCATTATTAGGTGTTTGGCAAATTTATTTCATTGTTAAACAAACGATGACTGTTTTTCTTTTTTTTTTTTTGCAACACATCAAATCACAATATGAACAAACTACTTGGCAGACAGTCTCACACCCAGAAAGAAGAGGTATGCCTGAGTAAGGGGGAAAAAAGGTAAAATAGAAACAGTTTTATGAGCGGAAGTTGTGGCGCTGCTTGTTGCACTGGCTGAGGTTACCCACAGGTAAATCCTTTGCAAATCTTTTTATTTATGTCATTTGTGCTACCAAAAATACACACTCGCACAGCCATTCCACAGCCCGTCCACAGCCCGTCCACAGCCCGTCCACAAACACATAGCACATGATTTTGCGCATGGCAGCGAGTAAATCCCTCTAATAATCCACATAATAAGCAAACGTAGCAAACAACGGGGCAACAGGCAAAACAACTGCCAGGCAGCTCACGAAAGGGTTACTGCCACAGAGTCACCCGGCTTGTTTATAAGTTCATAAAAGTCAACGAGCCGCAGCCGTGAGGGCATAAAAAACGAGCAAGTAAACGCCTTGAAGGTGGCAGGATGTTTCATGTACAACAACAACAACACACCAACCAAACAGCCGAAAAATGCGACATTCGCCTGCTGCCTTGTGTTGCAAATCCAATTTCTTGAGCAGAGCACGGTGGTGGTTTCTTTTCCTGCAACAAGCTACGTACTGCCTTGCAGCATCAGCCATAATGTGTAATTGAAAACCTGCTCTGAATCGCACCCCTGGGTGGCGTTTTCTGTTGCGTGGACCAGCGCCCAGTTCTTGAAAGTTTCGTGCGGCTCGTCTTAATTGGCACAGTTCGTTTCCAGTTCTGTGTTACATAATTTTCATGGACCAATGTTCAGCTTAGCTGTGTACTTAGAAAATGACCCACATCTGTAGTATTTATTTATTTATTTTGTTATTATTATTTCCTAGTGCTACAAGAACAAATTCGTAAATATTAATGCACTAGCCACAAGAAACAGACAATTTTCGTTGGACACTCTTAAGACGATTTAACCCACTTAACCTATTTTATATAATGTAGAGTTTAATTTAATAGAATATCTCGATTATTTATCCGATTTATCCGAACAGAAGCGCTAGTTTTAAGAATTTATTATTTCCAAGTACTACAAGAAAATATTCTTATAAATTACAAGAAACTTACAATTTTCATTGGACAAACTTAAGAGGATTTAACCTACTTAGCCTATTTTATTAAATTTAGAGTTTAAATTAATATAATAGAAGCGCTACTTTTAAGAATTTATGTACACCTTTTAAATATTAAATAACCGTCTTATTATAAATCGACAAGTCCAGAAATATGTGCAATATTCGTTGTTTAGTCACCTAATAATTCGACAACGTCTTGGTGACAAATTAAATTTTAAGAGCATTCGAATCGCCGAAGGTTGGTCAGAAATTTCTGTAACTTTAACCAGCCTTGTATCGTTATAATTTTCAAGTGTGATTTAGGTATACAAGCAAACAATATATAATACCAAATAGGCTAATCGGTCCAATGAGATTAAGACGTTCCAATACTATTTTTCTAAACGATATAAAAAGTTTTTAAGGTTTCTAGGCAATCACAAATTAGTATCTTTCCGACTGCATACAATTGTAAAAAAAATGTAAGCCATTTCTGATATTATTATCAGACTAGCGCTACCAAGAATTTATAAATATATTGTCCCCATGGCTCCCACAATGGGCACAAATTTGTGTGACAGCCGCCATGGTTATCATTATGTAAACAAGATAAACCCTTTTCACTGCAAGATCTATGCGGTTGCCAAAAACCTCTCTTGTTGCAAATAATGCGCTCAATTTGTAGATAGACGGGCCAATAGGAGGGACGGATGGACGGGCGGACAGGCAGACAAACACTTACACAATTGCCAACTAATACGCTTACATACAATTTCCACAATTTCCGGTTCGGGTTGCCATGGCGGAGTCCACACGCCAACAAACGAAGACAGAGGCGGTTTGCCAAAAGCTTTTGGTTTCTTATTAGAGTTCAGTCAAGTGGCGGGCCGCTTGCTACCCGTACGTCCACATCGCAGCTGTTGTTGTTGTTGTTCTTGTTGTTGTTGCGTTGTGCTGTGTTGCTGTGGTTGTTGTAGTTGTTGTAGTTGTGGCACACATTTGCCGCCCGCCTTGAGATATGCGAGGCTGCGACTTGCATACGTTATAAGCGTGCTAAGATTTGGGAACACTCACATATCGTACATCTAAGTAGTACTTGGCTGTCGTTCAAACTGACACAATGATAAACATGTGGCAATTGACGCAATCATTGTACGTCTGTTTGTCCGTCGGTTCGGCCTGTCAGTTCGTTCATCTCTCCCGCCGTCCGCCCCTCCGCCGCTCCGTCTTTGTTGTGCCTTCATGAATTGAATTAAATCAACTCGAGTGCGACAACAACGAGGATGCACGAGGATGAGTCCAAGCAGCCTGCGGAAAAGGATGGGGATGGCAATAAGGATGGGGATGTCGCATTACATGTGCTGGCAACTTTTGCGCTGACATTCGCACAAAATAGGCGTTACAGACGGGCTAGCGCACACTCTCATACGTGAAAGGGTACACATAGTATCACTTTTTCTCCTTCCTATGGATGTATGTGTGTGTGTGAGTGTGTGTGTCAAAATTAATGACTTGGTCATGCTTGTTGCTTGATGTTGATGGCAAAAAGAAAGTGGGCTGCGCTTATGGAATAATGGCTATCATAAGCTTGATGCTCACAAGTGTATACTTGTATATACAAATGATGCCAACATACACACGCTTGTTTCTGATTTTGTATATCTGTGTGTGTGTGTGTGTGTGTACAATCTATTATGTGTTTTGTAAATTTTTTTATTTTGTTGCTAGTCTGCCTGGCAATTTTAGAAACGACGCCTTAAGTTAGACTATTGATTTGCGTTCGCCGTGTGGGAGTGTGAATGCGGGGGTGTATGTGGCTGTGTTTGTATTTCTATTTGTATGTGCATGTGTATGTGTGGGCTGGCATGCCAACCCTTTCACTTTGGCATAATGCCCATAATTCCGCTTGATTTCGATATACGACATTAGCGCGGCTCAACTGCGCATTTTGCTTATTAGAATTCGTTTGTGTGCCGCTGCCGCTGCCGCTTGAGTGTAATAAATTTTACTCTGTGTATATAGCTGTGTGTGTGTGTGTGTGCGACTAACACACATACACATTGCTTAGCTGCAATTTCAAAGTTTATCACCCAGCGTCTGCAACTTATGTTTGCGAGTCTCAGTCGTTGAGGACGTTTTTGCCATTTTCCATTTGCTGCATGTGTAGGATTTCCACGCACTCCCCTTCCCCACCACCTCCCCAAGTCGGAGGCTTGTGTCTGCACACACTCACACACACACACACACCTATACCTAAACACCTTCAGCGAAAAACACGTCTGTTGTGGTTATGTGAAATCACATCGTAAAAATGTCCAAATGTTGTGCTGAGCAAAGCTCATAAGTCGTCGTCGTCGTCGTCGTCGTCATCGTCTTTGTCGTCGGTGGTTGCGTCTCACCTGTCGTGGCTTTAGGGCAACCCTTTTTGTCTGTTGCTGACTACAAGGGGAGGGGGGATGGGGGAAGACCAATATCAATACCAGAACCAGAAAGCAACAGCCTCTGCTGGTTTGTCGGGCCGCCATTCCCATTGCGATTCAATTTATAGATGGCGCGCGTATAAATATTTATTTCTGTGTATGTGTGTGTTGTTTCTGCAGGTGTGTGTGTGTGTGTGTGTGTGTGCGTGGATGCCGTCATACTTTTGCATCATTATTATTTTTATGTTGCTTGCGATGCTGCCGCCGAGCATCTTAAAAGTGCCGCTCAATAAACATGCACACTTTCCCCCCCCACCCCTCTCAGCAGCCGTTGACGGGTCGGGTTGCATTTTTCAATAAACGAAAGTGGTTTTCATCTGCTGCACTGCACGGACACCGAGGCCACCGAGGCCACCGAGCATTTCGAGCGTTTATGGCGCTCGGCCTCGTAGCGTGCTTAAAATAATAGGGAAATTAAAGGTCATCATAAATTTTGTGGCATGCGGCATGCGGCCTGGGTTTTTGTTTAACTGCCGTTTTAAATTATGTCGAGCAAACAAATGACTGAATGTGCGACATCAGCTCAACATAGCCCCAAAACCCACACATACACATGCACCTAGACACCTACACACACACCCATACATCCATACACCCACGGCCCATTATGATAATCAGCCGAAGCATAAACGTTATTTTAATTTAGCATTAGTTGACTTTCATGACGTGCATTAATTTGCACAAACACTGGCGACATAAAGTGTCCGATCCGTCCATACAAATCTACAAATCTATATGAGTATGTACGCATGTGTGTATGTGTGTGTGTG